TTAAGATAATATATATGATGAGATTTGTAGAATCTCTTAGCAATGGAGGTGCTCTTAAGCATTCATCACCAACGTAACTTTTACGTGCGATCAAATAACTCCATTGATTGTGTGAATGAATGATTACACACTCTTGTGACACATAAAAGTTTCGAAACCCAATACATCCATGATTAGAAAATAGAAAATATTTCTAACTCTAAAACATACTCTCTGACCTATGGTATTTTTTCGGATATTTCTTTGGCTCACTGGAAGAATTATCCCTTTTCAAATGAGTTTTGTAAGGGTGTTAAAGTAACGTCCAAGGTTGGAATCAAAGATTGGTTAACAACGATGAATGAGAAATTGCATATAATGTTCTACCAAAGAGGGTTGTCGAGTTATCTTACCAATGGCATGATTGGATGATGTTCATGGTGGATGGGAGAAAAGTATCTCCAATATCGATAACAAACGACGATGATGTTAATATGTTTGTTACATTCTAGATAGACATTGAGCAGCTAAACATGTACGTCACATTGCTTAAAGTAAAGGAGTGGTTGCACTTGCACTTTAGGATCATGGTTCCAATGGTCTGCGTCCAAGCCATGAGGGGTTTTATTGTATAACAAATAACCTAGTGGACAAAATACAAAAACTCTAACAAATTCAGGGACTAAAAAGTATAATATACAGAATTACTACTCGGCCGGTTTAGAGATTTCTCCTACTCGTTCGTCGTCATCTTCTTCTCCAAGACCACTGGTGGTGTTATATCGCCGGCGGTGAAAGAATTAGAACGAAAAATGTACGGAGACGCTACAAATTGGAACGAGGATGAGTATAGAGAATCAATTATCAAGGAACGAGAGATACAGACACGTACCGTGTTTCGAACCGCTTGGGCTCCTCCGGCGAGAAACCCTAATCCGGACGCATTCGTTGTCGCTTCCAGCGATGGAACGTTAGCTTTCCATTCGTTGAACTCGCTTGTTTCCCAATCGGCGAGTTTTGGCTACTCGAAAGGTCATGACGTTATGGTGGCTGAACCTGAGAGATTGGTTAAGGCACACGAAGGGCCTGCTTATGATGTCCAGTTCTATGGCGAAGACGAAGATGCTTTGCTCCTTAGGTAGATTTGAATCACTCCTTTTGCGATTGCTGATTGATAATTCAAAGGTTGATTTAAGAAACGGGCAATTTTGATCTGGTTTTCTTTGTAGTTGTGGTGATGATGGTAGAGTTCGGGGATGGAAATGGAAAGAGTTTGTTGAATCAGAGGGGACTCTTCATTTGCAAGGTGTGTATTATATGAAGAATGCTTTTTTATATATATATATAATTTGAAGATTGAGAGAGTTTAGTGGTTTTTATGTATACGATTTGCAGAGAATCATGCGAAGCCATTGCTTGAATTGACTAATCCACAACACAAGTGAGTCTTGTTCATTTGATTCTACATCATCACTCTGTTAGTGCAAATGCTATAACTAGTAGAATGTAATGGTTCGAAATGTCAGTATCTATATTAGTTTGGTCACAATTGATGCTGGTGAGACTCTTATTGAACTGATTTACAAATGCATATAATCACTTTTCTTATCTCATAGAGGTCCTTGGGGTGCTCTTTCACCTATGCCCGAGATCAATGCCATTTCTGTTGATCGTCAGGTTGGAATTTTATTTCTGTTCTGATAATTTCACTTGATAAACTTTTAATTTCACTTGAATATATCTCATTGCTTGGTTACAGATTAACTGTTCCGTCNTCCCTCATTTTTCGTTTATGATAGTCAGGAAGTGTATTTACGGCTGCTGGTGACTCTTGCGCATATTGTTGGGATGTGGTATGTATTTGTTCATGGTGAATGTTTATCGCCTGTATTACCACAGATGTGAGATTTTACCACAGATGTGAGATTTTAGATATCTAAGCTTTTTAGAATCATTTATGTGTATCCAAAATTTTCAGGAGAGTGGTAAAATCAAAATGACCTTCAAGGGGCACTCAGACTATTTGCTTTGTATAGTTTCTCGTAGCTCTGCAAGTCAGGTAAGGGTGTTTCCATAAACATTAGAAGTGCACCTTCATTTCTGTTTATGAGTTCCACATTTGGATTTTTGTCTGATCATATTAAGTCTCTTGCACCAGATATTGACGGGTTCAGAGGATGGGACTGCAAGAATCTGGGGTATCTTTCTTGGTCCATTTTTCTTGCTGCTGTAATTTCTAGTATCATGTTTGGCTTATCTGTGGTTATAAAACTTTTGAAATCATTTTAGTCTTCGCTTTGGTGATTACAAAACTTTCCACTATGTTTAGTCTAGTTTTCGGCTACTGTGGTATACTTTAATTGTCTAACCTAAGCTTTCTGTTTTGTCAACCAGATTGCAAAACAGGGAAATGCATTAAAGTAATTGGTTCCCAGGATAAAAAGTCTCCCTTTCGTATTAGTTCTATGGCCCTCGATGAAAGTGAAAGCTGGTTGGTAAGAATTAAGCATAATCTCATTATATTTCACAACCTGCTATTGCTACTTTAAGGGTTTGTTGCCTCTAATTACCACAGCATATAATTCCTTTGGTCCCCGTGGATTATTAAGACGTTTAAAGAGCCGGCATTTACTGTTATTGCTATGATTTTCTCTCCTTTTCCAGGTTTGTGGACAGGGTAAAAATTTAGCTTTATGGAATCTTCCTGCATCAGAATGCGTATCAACAATATCTTCCCCTGCACATGTACAAGATGTGATGTTTGATGAAAAACAAGTAAGCAGAACTAGATTAGATTGAAATCTAAGAGGTGTAATCTAAAACCTGGGAAGCATTAGCTGTTAGATTTACCAAAGCTTAGTAAGTTTATGCAGTATCAAAACAACTGAAATCTCTTTGAATCAATGTCTCTTCAACGAATTCGATAACAATTTATTACTGACTTTTCTAGACTGGAAACCAAAGATCAACAACGCATAGTTTTGATTCCTTTATAAATGTTGACCATTTTGTTTTAGATGTTGTCTTTCTCTAACAAGTATCCCACTTGCAGATTTTGACTGTAGGAGCAGAACCACTTCTAAGGCGTTTCGACTTAAGTGGAGCTTTGCTTTCTCAAATTCAGTGTGCTCCTAGTTCAGTATTTTCCATTTCCTTGCATCCAGCAGGAGTATGTTTCCAATCCTTTTGCGTATTGCCTTTTTTAAAAGAGGCGATATATCCGAGAGATAACGTTATGTAATTGTAAATGTATGTGAATTTGTTACCCGTTTTGGTGTAGAAAACTCGATGTTTAACCATTTGATCCGATGCTTGTGTACTTTGCAGGTAGTTGCTGTGGGAGGTTATGGAGGTCTTGTTGATGTCATCTCCCAATTTGGAAGCCATCTCTGCACATTTCGTAGCAGCTTATCATGAAACTGTTTCTTCTGACAATTTCTCGGTGTGGCCCAATAACCCTAAAGAGGTATCGAAATCCGATGCGAAACTGTATCTGTCAGATCATCATTATCATCATCTTAATAACCTTTTTTGTTTGTTTTCTTAGGCTATTGCCCCTGAAAAAGAGTTCAAGATTCCGTTTCCCAAATGTTATGAAGTGGTTATGGAACAGTAATGTTTGGTCTGGTTCTGCTTGATTTGAGTATGGACCAAATCATTGTCAACCGGTTTTTGGTTCAGTTGTTGCTATCGGATTTGAATTCAAGGACATTGGACCGGTTTAGTCGTTAATGCTAAATATTTTTAAACAGCCAATAATATAAAGACTTTTTCAGTTTTGCTGTTGATGATGATATGCTTTAAAAATAGAAGGGTAAAGAACACATGACCATTTAATTCAATAATTAATATTATCTTCTTAAAAAATAATTAATGGAAAAAAATAATCATGGAAAGGAAATGATATTT